GCCAGCAGGGGGCAGCAGCTGCCCACAGGCCTTCAGGGCCAGTAGCTGGGGTGGACAGTGAAGGGGCAGTGAGCTGTGGGCAGAGCCTGGACACTCCTGTCCCTCCTTGTCCCGGCCAACAGCCCATTCCAGCCCAGGGTGTTGTTCCTGCTGCCACTGCCACGTGAGCACCCCCCTCCCCAGCGCACTGCATCATGCAAGTCCCCTGAAAGGCTGAGGAGGAGGATGGTCTCTGACAATGGGCACACTCTTCATCTCAAGCGAAATCGCAGAAAGACGGGAGCAGCTAAGTGACGGGCCACACGGGGCTGCACGGCCGAATGCACTAAACGCCAAGAGACACAAGCCTGTTGCAAAGAACACCTGCTAGCTGGGCATAGTGGCACAGGTCTGTAATCCCAGCACTCAGGAGGCTGAGGCAGGAGGATTGCCACCAGTTTGAGGCCATTCTGGGCTACATAGTGAAAGCCTGTCTCAACAACAACAACAACAACAAATCCACTCAATATTGGAAAAAAAAAAAGGGAGGGACCTAGACATAGGGGAAGGGCAAAGGGGAGGGAAAAAGGATCAAGAGGTCATATGTCAATGTACCAACTCCCCATAATCCATGTATTTATTATGTATTGCAAACATATATGAATAAAATTTTTTTTTTAATTTAAAAAAAGAACAAGAGAGAGTTCAAGGCCACAAAGACACTGTGGGCATCGGAGCCAAGTCAACCCACCCCATCTTATCCTTAGTCTAGCTCATCCTGTGATAGCCCAGTGTTTCCACACTGTCTCACTTCCCAGGGCAGAAGGACTCTGCAGATGGGATGTGTGGAGGAGCTGGAGAGGGGGTCATCCTGACCACCCAGGGATCAGTGTGCCCCAGGGTCCCCCTGAGAGAGCACAGGAGGGAGACAGGCCAACAGGCTGAAGATGCGGCACTGTCGGCTCTGCAGATGGAGGAAGGGGCCGCAAGCCAAGGGCTGCGGGTGCCTCTAGGAGTGGGGACTGGGACCAGGGCTTTCCCCAGAGCCTCGGGAGGGGCATCCCAGGTGCTAGTGCTTGGACTGCAGCCCTCTGATGGACAAAGGTAGGCACCTTTGAGCCCCCAAGTTGGAAGAGGTTGTTCTGGGACCTGGGGATAGCAGGGCGTCCTGTCGGGTATAGGGTAAGGGGCAGAGACTGGAGCATCGGGGAGATTCACCTGTGTGTGGGTCGGAATGTGAGACTTCTGGGGGCAGGGTCCTCCTTGGGTTCTGGGGCTGGATTGCCCGGGCACCAGCAATCAGGTGACCCCTGCACAGAGGCTCCCCCGAAGGGTAGCACTCTGCCTCTTCCTCCTATGGGACCTGATCCCTCAGCCTGGGATCTACTCTCCTAGGTCGGGGTCTGATGATGCCCACTGACCCTGGCAGGCCTGGGGGTCCTGGCGGCCAAGGGTGGTGCAGGGCTGAGTTTCTGTCACCCACGCCTAATCCGTGTCTCACACTAATGGCCCTGCCTGCCTGCTGGAAGCAGGGTCCCACCCTCAACGCTTGTGCAGAGGGGAAATGGAGGCAAGGGGCTCAGAGGACCTCAAGGTCACAGGGTGGCTGGGAGCAGAGCTGCGATTCGATTCAGCACCCACCTTCTCTGGGTGTGAGGCTGGTATACAGACGGAGCCAGTTAATGACTCTCCACCCTTCCCTGTCACCAGGTGTGTGGCCCGGGGACTCAGTGGGTGAGGCTAATAAGCCCTCCAGGGGCCTGAAGGGCCCCTCGCACACTCCGTGGGCCTCTGCATGAGCACCAGTAAGGCGCCTGCTGTATGCAGGACATAGAAGTCCGTGACTCATGCCTGATGCCCATCACAGGGATCGTGGTCCAGCGGGGCAGGACCTGCTGTCCTCCAGGAAACTGAGACCGAGGGGCCCTGGCGCTTCCTGCACATGGGCTGGGCCGGGAGCGCGCAGGTTTATTCCTGGTGACAAGGACAGGGTGCAAGGGTGAGAGACAAAGGCCTTGGCGGCCCCAAATCACATCCTTTTGCCCACCAGGTGAGGGCACGGAGCTTTACACCCCGGGTCTGGTCTCCTCACCAGACCCAGAGCATTTGGCAAAGTCTTAGAGGCAGAAAGGAGCCTGGCGAGGCAGCGCCCATCCCCCAGAAGGCTGAGAGAGGGGCATGGCTGCGAGCAGAGGCCAGCCCGGGCCACACAGCGAGACCCTTCTCCAAAAATCAAATAAAACAAACAGAAAGAGGCACAAAGAATCAGCGGGGCTCTCTCTTCAGTCCCAGCCGACGACCTAAAACCAGGAAAACATCTGCCAGGCACGTAAAAAGTGGCACAGAAAACGCTGGAGTTTAAAATGTACCCGCCGCGGCCATGGCACTGACCCGCGTTCTCAGACGGGGAGTTTCACAGCGGCCGGCCGTGTCGGGGGCGGTCAGGGGCTCCTCCGGGGCGGGCAGTTCCGACAGGGCGGCACAGGGACCGGCTGGCTGTGCCAGGGGCAGGCTCAGTCCTCATCCTCGCTGGCGTAGATGCCAGCCTCCCAGCGCCTGGCCATGGCGTTCTTGTGGCGGGTCACGCGGGTGGCTCCCAAGATCTGCACCAAAAGAGACACAGAGTCCCCGTCAGTATCACCACCCCCAGGTGTCCCCACACTGGCCTAAGACAGGGGCGAGGCAGGATCGTCCCCTCCTCGGTTTCAGACCCTCTACTCCTAGGAATAGGATGAAAGAACTGCTGAGTTGTTCTCAGCTCCAG